CACGAGAGAGAGAGAGAGTGTCACATCACAAACACATACCAGCTTCATCACTGTGTCTGTCACGCGACTCTGTTCCCCTTTCGGGCTCTGTCTTTACATTTATTTTGAAAGATGAATCTCGCGATTATAGAAAGGGCCGTTACATTTCCGACGAGTGCTTGCGGTGTTCGGCCAATCACAATGCACTGGGTCAGCTGGCCAATCAGAGCAGACTGCGCTTGTCGGAAGGAGGGACTTTGTAGAAAACAAAGAGTTTGAGAGAGGCGGGGCATAGAGGACCTACAATAATGTACAGTATTTGAAAAAGAATGTGTTTTTTGAACATTAAAGCATGTCAACATATTCTGTTACACCAAATACACAAAATAATGATCTTTAAAAAAGCATCATATGACCCCTTTAAAACACAAGTGATTAGGTGAAGATGTTTTAGACATTATGACCCAAAAACTTGGAGCCTTGATTAGCTGACTAGTTTTTGAAGAAGTAGCTTAAGTTAGCTTTTGGTTAATATTTTGTAAGTCATTGTTTTCTTTTCCCCGTTCATTTTCTCTCTGTTTTTAAAATAATTATGCTTTCCTAGTAGGGCTGCACAATTAATCAAAATTAAATCGCAAAGGCGATAAAACGCTTTTAGGCAGAAGCTGCGATTGTCATGCGTATCTTTCAGTGAAGCACAGTTCTGTGATCAGTAGTAAATCTCCATCCAAAGGCCAGAGGGGCGCTCTCGTGCTGAAACTCCAAATATGCCTCGAAGAAGAAATCCAGGAAATGCCTATCGCTGCAGCTGAATAAACAGAAGATTTAACTGCTTTCATTGATTCAACTTGACTAATAAACACTCGACTACGGCAATATGTGGTTTATCTGAGTTCTTCTTCTTCTTATTATTATTATAACTTTCATCATAATAAAGTATATCTATAATGAAATGCTAATCGACATAGCCTTTATCACTGCTTAGAATACAATGAAATATTGTGTGCCTTAATTATTCTGTGTAAGAAGCCACATCATCTCACAGAAGGATTTATTTCAAACACTCGACTGATGTTATGAAGTGAGTTTGGAGTAAAAACATGTTATTAAATGTGATATTTTCACGTGCTCTCAGATGGAGCAGCATTTACTACACAGAGCCGTAGTTCACCGAGAAGATACGCAAACAGCTGTCATTATCGCAAACGATTTTGTCGATTTCATAATCCTACGATTATATTGTCTGCGATTTTATGAACGCGATTTTGCTTAGCTTGTCAGAGAACTACGGCTCTGTGTAGTAAATGCTGCTCCACCTGAAAGCAGGTGATGGAGATTTACTACTAATCACAGAACTGGCTTTATTGACAAAGTGTGCATGACAATCGAATTAGATTAATCGAGTTCGATTAATCGTGCAGCCCTATTTCCTAGATATTTTTCTACTGTGAACAGGACTGTGAGCTACATTTTAAAAAAAAAAGGGGGAAAAAAGCTATATAAATTTATTTGAACTATTTTAATTTAATTTAATCTCTTTATTTATTTATTTAAATTTTTTCAACTACTTTAACTCTATTTTAATAGTTTTTTTTAACTACTTCAACTTTATTTATTTTTATCTATTTTAACTATTTACATTAGCTATTAGTGTTGTATTGGCCATTAATTAATGTTACCTATTAATTAACTATTAATGTTTTTATATTATTAATTTGATTTGATGTATTTATTGTAACTATTTTGTTATCTCAACTATTTATTTGAACTATTCATTTATGATTTACTATTAATATTCATAATTTAACCGAACAAATTTTTTATTTTTTTATTTTAAATAATATTATTAAATGCTAAAAAGGCAGAATTATATCAGTCATAACATAATTACTTGCCAACATGCCATACGTTTGCATAGCATTTGTACTAAATTCTCTTTTTTGTCACAGAATTACACTCCCTGTGGCAGAATGAGGAACGAGCCGCTACAGTCACCAAGAAGACCAATGAGATCTGGCATCGTCGCCACGACTACTGGCTACTCGCTGGCATCATACAGTATCCTTAAAAAAAAACAAAAAGAAGAAAACGAGAACGCTGCTTTCAGTGTACATGTACACACGTCTGAGTGTCTTTCAGATGTGTTCAGTGACGAGATCTTCCTCAACTCACTGTCTCAGACACGGTTACGCTCGCTGGCAAGATATTCAGAATGACATCAGATTCGCCATTCTTAACGAACCCTTCAAGGGAGAGATCAACAGAGGAAACTTCCTGGAGATCAAGAACAAGTTTCTGGCCAGGAGATTCAAGGTATTATGAAAAGAACTGAATTTTTCTTGTACGTAAGTGAAGATATTGGAGTTAGTCAGACCGTTTTTATGTGTCTCCTGTAGCTGCTTGAGCAGGCTCTGGTGATTGAAGAACAGCTGCGCAGAGCTGCGTATCTGAACATGACTGAAGACCCTTCTCACCCCTCCATGGCTCTCAACACACGCTTCAGTGAAGTGGAGTGTCTGGCCGAGTCCCACCAGCACCTGAGCAAGGAATCCATGTCCGGAAACAAACCTGCCAATGCCGTCCTACATAAAGGTGCCTCATCTGACCTCATTTTAATTTTGAGCTTTATAGAAGCTGACGCTCACTGCTTTCTTGTATGTGTTTCTGACAGTACTGAAACAGCTAGAAGAGTTGCTCAGTGACATGAAAGCAGATGTCACTCGTCTCCCGGCGACCATCGCCAGGATACCTCCTGTCGCCGTGAGGCTGCAGATGTCTGAAAGAAACATTCTCAGCCGTTTGGCCAGCAGAGGACCAGACACACAGTCTCAGCAGGTACACAGTCACCTACACGTACTGCTGGGAATTATGCTTGGACTATATCAGATTTTATAGTCTATAGTTGTATTTTGAAAATTGTGCCTGTTTGCAAGCTGAATTATGCATTGGATTTATATGTTGTCTTTAAGGTGTGTGTGTGTGTGTGTGTGTGTGTGTGTGTAGAGTTGGATGGATGGAGATGGGTACAGATAGATGTCACCTTTAAGTTGTGGGTGTGTGTGTGTGTGTGTGTGTGTGTGTATATATGTATATATAAAGGTAAAAAAACTACATATACAAGTAAAAATGTTTTTTCCTTTAATATAAAATGTACATATTTTGGTATATATTCATATTTCTTTTAACTCCTTTCCCCGCCAGCATTTTAAAAAAAAAGTTGCCAGCCACCACCAGCGATTTTGATGATTTTCACTCAAATTTGATGGCCTCCAGTATATTTTCCTGTATGAATATTTGAATATGCAATACACCAAAATAAAGATCAGAGCCTCTACTTTTAAACAAAAAAAAATCCGTTTTATTCTAGCTTAAAGCATTCACTTGAATATATCAACACTTGAATATAGGTAGGTTTCATAAAAATGCATAATCTTGAGCAAAAAGGTGAGAAAATCACATTTTTATCAAAAACTATATCTGGATAATATTCAGTACGATTATCAAAGCATAAATCCAGCAAATCGCTTCCATCAACACCTCCAAAGCTTGCACAGACATGTACCACTTCCTGGATCAACATTTTACTCCGTAACATTATGCAGTTTTCATTTATATGCTGTTGATGATGGCATTATTTTTCATATGCATCTGTTTACATAAGAGATCGCTCGTTTCTCCATCCTGTTCACGTGTGTTTTTGTTCGGGAGGTTTTGTACTCGTTCAGAAGATGTGTATCTAAGCCATCTTTGGTGGGAGAAGCGTTTTCTTCTAAAAGACGAGAAAACTCGTCAATGGCGGGGAAAGAGTTAAGATAGCAGACCGTAATTAGGATTTTAAAATGCAACTAAAAAGATTCTATTTAAAAAAAAAAATTTTTTTTATACGTTTTGAATTGAATTATTTTCAATTATTCATCCAGACAAGTGGAATTTTTAAATCCAACTAAATGAGGAAATGTTTTGTTTTTCAAAAGGTGTTTTACAAATACATTTACTTTTTTTAACTTTTATATAAGTAATATTTCATGTATAATTTTTTTACGTGTGATATTTATATTTTATTTATTTATTTAGTCATTTAGCAGATGCTTTTATCCAAAGCGACTTACAAATGAGGACAACAGAAGCAATCAATTGTAGTATTAAAACAACTAAAAACAGATCCAAAACTAAAAGCTAAAACTTTATAAATACTACTTATACACATTTAAAAAAATAAAGAAATTAAATAAAAATGACAAATGCATACAACAACATTTCAAAACTTAACATTTTAATGAAAAACAAAAATAAAGCTAAAAACAATTCAAAATATTAAAGAACAAAAGATATGAGTATAATAATGATTCTAACATAACACCAAAAAAACAACTACATGTGTATGTATCTAAGCCATCTTTGGTGGGAGAAGCGTTTTCTTCTAAAAGACGAGAAAACTCGTCAATGGCGGGGAAAGAGTTAAGATAGCAGACCGTAATTAGGATTTTAAAATGCAACTAAAAAGATTCTATTTAAAAAAAAAAAAATTTTTTATACGTTTTGAATTGTGTACACATAATACAAGCAAGTTTTTTAGAAAATATTAGAGTAAAACATTGTATTTTATTGCATGTATATGTATTGTGTATTTTATTATATGTATACATTTGTATAATTTTATTATATGACAATATAAATATTATTTATTTTCAATTATTCATCCAGACAAGTGGAATTTTTAAATCCAACTAAATGAGGAAATGTTTTGTTTTTCAAAAGGTGTTTTACAAATACATTTACTTTTTTTAACTTTTATATAAGTAATATTTCATGTATAATTTTTTTACGTGTGATATTTATATTTTATTTATTTATTTAGTCATTTAGCAGATGCTTTTATCCAAAGCGACTTACAAATGAGGACAACAGAAGCATTCAATTGTAGTATTAAAACAACTAAAAACAGATCCAAAACTAAAAGCTAAAACTTTATAAATACTACTTATACACATTTAAAAAAATAAAGAAATTAAATAAAAATGACAAATGCATACAACAACATTTCAAAACTTAACATTTTAATGAAAAACAAAAATAAAGCTAAAAACAATTCAAAATATTAAAGAACAAAAGATATGAGTATAATAATGATTCTAACATAACACCAAAAAAACAACTACATGTGTATGTACGACTATACACACATACATATATATAATATATTAAATTTATAAATATGTATATATATATTATTTCATTTCCATTTAGTTTGTTGAAGTATTAAAATAACTCAGATTAAATAAAACTTAAACTTAATAAAAGACCTATACAGACATAATAAATTCAGACATAATTTAACTAAAATTAAAATAAACAAATACAAATAATAGAAATCAAACGACAGTAGTTTATCAGTAATCCTAGAAAATAACACTGCCAAACTTACATGCTAAAAAAACAACTTACTTACACACAGTAAGAAATGGTTATAAAAACTGAAACAGAAGCGAAACAAGTAGTAGGAAAGAGGAGAAATAAAAAGCGATACTTATTATGATTTATATATTTATAGAATTTTATTTTTAAACCCAACTAAATGAGGAAAGACTAAGTGAAAATAAAAAGCCACAACAGTAATGAAAAGAACAATTTCTGATGAAAAAAAACTCAAATTTATTTAAAAAAAGTTAATTATACAAGGAGATTATTGCCCTTTTCAGTAAGTTGTAGATCTGTTACATATTAAGTCTGTAAAAGAGTCACCAGTAATGTTTTCTAAATTGACCGTGGAAAAACTAACTTGACGTGCTCTGAATCAGGGTGTTTTCGAAGTAAAACATGAGGTCATGCATTTTATTGACAGAGAAACCACAGGATATAGTCTTTTTTTCCCCATTTAACAATTGACAGATTAAAAAGGTTATGCGACGTCTAAATTGAGCTCAATGTCACGTCTATCCATCCATACAAGTAACAAGTACAGAAATAAAATAGTAAAAATGACTTTGACATTGTCAGTGATTTAGACACTTTCTGTGTTTTAGTCATCAACAGACTGAATATTGAATTGAAAGCCTCATGCTGCAGTTTTTCCTTCGAGTTGTCGTATATCTTTGCTCTGTTATTAACTGGTTATGTCTGTTCACGTTGCCAGGTCCAGCAGTAGCCTGCAGCAGACGCCAGTCCACAGAGCGCCGCACACCATGTCCACATTCCTGATTGCACATGATATCTCGTCTTAGCTTGAATCCACACCCTCGTACTGTCCGCTCGAACCTGGGGGCTACGGATATTTGAGCTGCTGTTTTTATTAATTTCCTAATTAATATTGTTTACATAATATTGTTGATGATGGGTTTTGGGACCTCAATAAAAATGTTCAATAAAAAAGGTTTCTGTTCCTTTTATTCCTGTTGTAGTTACTGTGTAGTATTATTGTAGACGAGTTTGATTCTTCATCAGAACCGATTCGGCGAAATGTAGCATCACTTGCTCACTAGTCTCGCGTAGCCAGTCCTTCACTGGCCAAGGCCCCGCCCATGAGACATGTCAAACAGCCAATCACAATTCGTTTCGTTCATCGTCATGATTTGGGGCGTGGAAATGTCGCCACAATAACAGACCGGTGTGTAAAACTCTCGGACGTATTTTAAAGATTCTATGCCACGAACTTTAAATTTTTCACATACTTTTGAAAATCCAGCATTTAGTTGATCCTGATAAGCGCTCGTTGTCTCAGTTGTAAACACGACGGCTTTCTTCTTTCGTGAGGGGGTTTGGCGCCACGGTATCTTTGTTTCCAGGCGGAACGTTAAAGAACGCGACACGCACGTCCCCCGGAAATCCTGTATAATTCAACCAATCCGATGACGGCTTCGAAACTCCTGAAGTGTTTCCACTTTTGTGTGCTGTATGCATCAGACGTTTAGTGGGCGTGACGTCTGAGGCTGAGACTACTTGCTCACCAGTGGATCCTCTGCAGTGAATGGGTGCCGTCAGAATGAGAATGATTTGTTTCTTAAAAACACGCAGCTTTTCACTTCACAAGATGTTTACTGATGGACTGAACTGGTGTGGATTATTGCGATGTTTTTATCAGCTGTTTGGACTCATTCTGACGGCACCCATTTAGAGGTCTGCATTCCGGCGGGACCCGACCGGATTTTTTTGCGCCGCGGGATTAAATTCCCAAATGTATTTTTCTCTGCGACACTTTTCCTACTGTGTTAACAGACAAATGTCAAACGAATTGTATCCTGACAAGACGAATAAAAATAAGAAATACAATTTTTTTTTGTACAATTTTATTTTGACACTTTTTTTTTTTCTTAAGATAATTCATATAAATTCAAGTCAAAGTCAATAAATTCAAGACTCTTGACAAGACGAATAAAATAACACAATTTTGTGCAGAATACACTTTTATTTGTCAGCCTATCTCTCTTTCTTTCAGTAGCAGAAATTGAAATGTGAGATTCTGGAAACGAAATCTAAATTTAGCGGGAACGGTCGGGTCGGGAAGAAAATTATTCTATGCGGACAGCGGGTGAACAAAGAGTGAATATATAGCGGGGAGCGGGTGGGTGCGGAATAGAACCTTGCTGGAGTGGGACTTAAAAAACCAGTCCCGCGCAAACCTCTACACCCGTTCAATGCAGAGGATCCATTGGTGAGCAAGCCATGTAATGCTACATTTCTCCAAATCTGTTCTGAAGAAGAAACTACAAATTGCATATGAGGGCTGATAAAGGATTTTATTAAATTGCTAGTTTCAGCAGTTTGATGCATCTGCATTCACTGACACCAATTTCAAAAGAAAGTTTCATTTCTATTCAAATTCACTTCACCATTTTGCACTTCCAATATCAACATGTCTCCGTAATCCTGAATCTCCCACTGATCTTCTAATTCATCAAATGTGAGATCTGCAGCTATTTCAATGAATCTGAAAATAGCCGCCTCTTCTTCAAAAACCCATTTGACTAAGAAATGTTTTAAATCTGTGCCATTTAATTTGATCTTCACCATCCCTATCCACCTTGACATCAGTCCAAATCCATGGACCTCCAAAACCCCTCAAACTGATTCTGAAAACATCAACACAATCCAATCTCAGAGTCACTCCTCTGGACCGGTGGCCTCGCCCTCATCATCCTCGTCCTCTCCTCCAGAGATGTTCTGATTCATGCGGGACAGCAGCAGAGGAAGATTTATTAGACTGGTGTTTTCCTCTTCATCATCATCATCATCATCATCTTTAGGAGGGTAGAAGCGACGAGCCTTGGCCACAAAATCCTCAGCAGCGTCCAGATAAATCAGCCGGTCCTGACAGACGTTTAGTGGGCGTGACGTCTGAGGCTGAGACTACTTGCTCACCAGTGGATCCTCTGCAGTGAATGGGTGCCGTCAGAATGAGAATGATTTGTTTCTTAAAAACACGCAGCTTTTCACTTCACAAGATGTTTACTGATGGACTGAACTGGTGTGGATTATTGCGATGTTTTTATCAGCTGTTTGGACTCATTCTGACGGCACCCATTTAGAGGTCTGCATTCCGGCGGGACCCGACCGGATTTTTTTGCGCCGCGGGATTAAATTCCCAAATGTATTTTTCTCTGCGACACTTTTCCTACTGTGTTAACAGACAAATGTCAAACGAATTGTATCCTGACAAGACGAATAAAAATAAGAAATACAATTTTTTTTTGTACAATTTTATTTTGACACTTTTTTTTTTTCTTAAGATAATTCATATAAATTCAAGTCAAAGTCAATAAATTCAAGACTCTTGACAAGACGAATAAAATAACACAATTTTGTGCAGAATACACTTTTATTTGTCAGCCTATCTCTCTTTCTTTCAGTAGCAGAAATTGAAATGTGAGATTCTGGAAACGAAATCTAAATTTAGCGGGAACGGTCGGGTCGGGAAGAAAATTATTCTATGCGGACAGCGGGTGAACAAAGAGTGAATATATAGCGGGGAGCGGGTGGGTGCGGAATAGAACCTTGCTGGAGTGGGACTTAAAAAACCAGTCCCGCGCAAACCTCTACACCCGTTCAATGCAGAGGATCCATTGGTGAGCAAGCCATGTAATGCTACATTTCTCCAAATCTGTTCTGAAGAAGAAACTACAAATTGCATATGAGGGCTGATAAAGGATTTTATTAAATTGCTAGTTTCAGCAGTTTGATGCATCTGCATTCACTGACACCAATTTCAAAAGAAAGTTTCATTTCTATTCAAATTCACTTCACCATTTTGCACTTCCAATATCAACATGTCTCCGTAATCCTGAATCTCCCACTGATCTTCTAATTCATCAAATGTGAGATCTGCAGCTATTTCAATGAATCTGAAAATAGCCGCCTCTTCTTCAAAAACCCATTTGACTAAGAAATGTTTTAAATCTGTGCCATTTAATTTGATCTTCACCATCCCTATCCACCTTGACATCAGTCCAAATCCATGGACCTCCAAAACCCCTCAAACTGATTCTGAAAACATCAACACAATCCAATCTCAGAGTCACTCCTCTGGACCGGTGGCCTCGCCCTCATCATCCTCGTCCTCTCCTCCAGAGATGTTCTGATTCATGCGGGACAGCAGCAGAGGAAGATTTATTAGACTGGTGTTTTCCTCTTCATCATCATCATCATCATCATCTTTAGGAGGGTAGAAGCGACGAGCCTTGGCCACAAAATCCTCAGCAGCGTCCAGATAAATCAGCCGGTCCTGAGCCAAACATAAATATTAGAGGTCAAAGTGAGGTAGGAGAAGTCTGTCTATCTCAAGCATGTTTTTAGATGAGATATATACATTTTTTATTAAATCATCTTATCCGACGACCTAATTAATATTTTAAAATATGCAAGTAATTCATCATTATATCAAATGTGCACACCAGTGTTCTTTTAGAATCACTGAGACATTCTAGTTTTCCACATTTTAAATCCGTTTTAACTTTAGTTAAACTAATTGTTTTGTCATTTTTATTAGTTTTTGTTTAATATCTATATAGTTTTGATTGGCGTTTTAGTTATATTAATTCAAGTTCACCTGAAAAATAAGAAAAGTTGCCTTGGCAACAAACTGAAATCATTTTTAGCTTTTAAATTGGATTTTTATTTCAGTTCAACATTCATTTCAAGCCACGAAAATGTTTCAAGGTTTATCATTTTAGTTTTTTACATCTTCATTTATGCCCAAACCACCTCGCTTTAAATAGAAAGAAGGAGAAATACACATTTGTAGTGATATTCACTTCTGCTGTAGACTGTTATTGATTGCTCATACTCGTTTGAGATGCTCACCAGGATGAAGAGGTATCTCTCGGGTGGAGGCTCTTTGCTGCTGAATATGGACGTCTCTGTGTGGAGGGTCTGTAGCAGGCTGCGGGCGACCGCTGCGTTTCTCATGCGGTCATATGATGCGGTGGCAGACACAGTCAGCAGAGACTCGGCTTCAGCCATGAACCCTGAGAGAAGAAACCCAGCATCTCAATGACAGACTGTCCCTGAATCACTGGAACATCATCTCTGACACGTCATCTCTCACCCAGATTCTCCAGGATCATCTTCCATTTATCTCGCACCTCTCTCCTGATGTCTCTCATGGCCTCGATGTCGATGCTCAGACGCCGGTAGCCCTGCAGGACAGAAGACACGACAGGACTCAACTGAACCATCGAAACTCACGAGCTCATACCTACAAATACCTTATGGATTTGGGATAGATTTTAATATTGGAAAAATGACAGAAATATGAGGATTCAGATTTTTTTTTAATGCAACCTTTCTTGTTTATTTCTATATATTTTTTCTGTTTATACATATATAAATACATACATACATGTGTACATAAATCATAAATACACACACACACACACACACACACATATATATATATATATACCGGTATGCACACTGTATGTATGTATGTATATATATATATATATATATTATTTTTTTATTTTTTTGCTTAATCTTTCCTCATTTAGTTGCATTTGAATCCATCTGTAATTAATTAAAAATGAAGATAATAATAATAATAATAATTGTTGTTGTTGTTGTTGTTGTTGTTGTTAGGCTCATTGTGGGCTTATGTCACTTTGTGGGTGACTTGACCTCTATGTTTCTGAAATAAGACAAATGTGACAAATAACAGGATTACGGTTTATATTTCATTGATCTTTCCTATGTTTATTAATATATTTTGGTATTTGATATATGACTGTCCTGGAGTTGGCAAAAAGGCACTATATAAATAAACATGAACAACAACAATAATAATTATATAATAATAATTAATAATAATAATAATTATTATTATTATTATGTTGGCTACCCCCTGGCTGTATTTATAAATCATTA